TGTCCTAGTTTGCAGTACAATATTTCCAGAGAAAAAGCTTCACAAGATTAGGTTAACAACTCTTAATGCCTTTTTGGCAATGTTGTTGCAGTGAGCTCTGGCACTTAGATCATTTGAGATGAGTACTCCAAGTTTCTTGACAGAATGAGGGTCATCTACGAGGTCATATCTGTCCAGCTTGTATTTGATGTTCTGTTTTTGTTTTTTGCCAATGTGTAAGACAGAGCATTTTTTGGTTGATATTTGGAGTTTCCAATTGTTTGACCATTCTGATGCATAGTCAAGGTCTCTTTGTAGAGTAGCAGCATTGCGGTGGTGTTGAATAGTTTTACATCATCAGTGAACAGAACGCACTTGCTTATAATATGATTGCAAAGGTCATTTATGTAAAGTATAAAGAGTGTTGGTCCTATAACACTGCCTTGGGGAACACCGCTGTTAAGAGGTACAGGGTTTGATAGGGCGCTCGCTATTTTGACTACTTGTTGCCTGTTTGAAAGGAATGCAGCTATCCACTTATGCAGGGATCTGGAAATGCCACAAGATTTGAATTTTAAAAGTAGTTTGTTGTGTACCACTAAATCAAAGGCTTTGGTCTATGTAAAGTCTATGTAAAGTCTATGTAAATTGCGTCTATTGCTTTACCCTGGTTGAGTTGTGTAGTCCATATGTTTTTGCAATGTAAGAATTGCAGATTACAGGACAAATTTTTCCTAAAACCAAATTGCTTGTTAGAGAGTAGGTTGTTTGTCTCTAAGTGGAGGGTAATTAAATGGAAGATGATGATCCCTCCACCCAAACATAACATGAACTTCACTTCCTTATTAGTTATAGTAGATGAAAAGATTTTAAAAGACTGCTCCATTTTTATTTCCCCCATCAACCAAAGTAGGCAGGCAGTGTTCATACCTCCTGACTTGGAACATACACCAGCACTTAGAGAATATTTTGCCATGTTCCTGCTTTATCATTCCCTTGATACAAAGAGATATTTCAACTTTCTAGAAAAAGTATAAGATCATAGTGTATATTGTAGAGTCAATGTAATTTGGAGAAAAATTCTTATTCTTACTATGAATACATTTGAAATGGTTTTCCATTATGGACATTTCCATTAATCATAGTATTTGACATTCAGGAATTTATTCCATTGATTCCTAAATTACCATGGAGTGGCTGAACAAATCTTACTTACTTCATTGTTAATAATAATAACATGGGCCTCCCCTGCAACACTTCCCTAAATGAAGATTGCCCAGAAGCACCATTTGGTTCCAAATACTTTTTTTTTAGCCAAAATGTTGCACAGGCAAAGAATCCAATTAAGTAAAGTAGAATGAATTCATGATGAAAATATATATAATCTTATGTATATTTATAATATAATACCTGCAGTAAATACAAGCTGGAACATAAAGAAATCAAGAGTTGTACTTTTAAAATGCCTATGTGCTCATTAAGATTTCATCATCCACCTACACTAAAAAGCCTCTTCCATTTTCTTTCATCATGACCCTTTTCCTCCATTCTTTTTTTAATCTGCAATTCCCTACTTTACATGCACTCTCAAATTTTAAACAAGCAAAATTTGTGCATTAGTATGTCTTTTTCATTTATGATTTATGAATGACAGGTTTTTCTGTGCAGCGTAATGGTATGAGAGGAAGACATTATTTTAAACATTAAACATTTGCAACTATGATAAGAAAGGTCTATTGACATTAAAGTTTAAAATCTGCCCAAGGTAGAGGCGAACTAACAGGTGAGGGCATCATGCATGCAATTGGTAGACAGTTCAGAACATTACTTGTCTTCCTTTCTCAATCTTTGGCAACCGTTTAGTTTTGATGCATCAAACAATCCATCAAATTATCAAAGCAACTGCAATTTAATGAGTTAAAAAGTATTTAGATTGCTAGTCAGAGCAGTCACTTAATAAAAGTCCCACTTGACTTGTGAGAAAGTTTTGCCTGTTTTTAAGTCAGCAAAATATGCAAATACAAAAAATACAAAATGGAAAGTTTCAAGGTGGATCTAATTCTTTCACACATGCTTCAACATTTTTCCATTACATATTCTTCTAGATTGTGTTTTGGAATACATAGCTATAGAGCATGCATTAGGAAATAGAAAATATGAAGTTGAATAATAACTGAAAATGTGTCAAAATGAATCTTATGTCCTGTATTATAGTATAGATTGGTAATTACAATTCCTGTTCTTATTTCCTCAGTGGTAAAAAGAATATGCCAAGAAAGAAGACTAAGGAGGAAAGTTTCCTCTTAATGACTTTTATGCCAAAAATAATACAATAATCAACATCTGTTTTTTCTTTATAAGAGTCATTTTTTAAATACTGAATTTTCACATTTCAATGATGCATCATTGAAAGGACTTGTTATAACAGTTTTATATTTATGGTGTAATATCTATCACCTGTCTATTACATTTATAAGCAGCTCAACTCAGGGTACAAAATTAAAAGCAGAATACCTAAAAGATAGAACAACAAGGAGGCAGTAAACTGGTATGTAAGAAGTTTGAGAGTAAAAAAATCCTCCAAGGCTTATATTTTTAACCCAGTCAGAATTAATTGGCCCATTTGGAAGATGGAGGGATAGTATTCAATATATTCAAGAGAATACTATTTTTAGTAAAAACAAAGAAAACAAGAGAAGGAAGAGGAAGAGAAAGGAAAAGAATGAACACAAGAAATTTATCTGGGAATGACATAAAACATGTTTGTTGCAGCTTCTAACCAAGGCTTTATTTTTCCAATGCAAGAAACCTTCATGGTAAAGAGAAAGGCAAACTGACTTGAAGAAAAGAGGTAATTTAAAGTCAAAATTCAGAGTTTCATGCTCTGCAGATTATCCCCACAGTATCCTGGATGGTTACTAATTCTAACTGTAGAATTCTTATCATATTTGGTTTCATTATATTACTGTCACTATCCTCAATATCTAACCCAACATTGTTTCCAGGAATAGCTTACAGATATTGATGGGAGCTCATAGACAGGAGAACATGAAGATGTTGCCTTCCCATTATCTCTATCTTTTGATACCTAAGAAATATAATTTCTCTAACAAATGCTTCTCTGTTGGAAGTATCTTCTATGTTTTTAAATTCTACTTAAAATTCTGCTATAAGATTACTTAAACCAGTAGACATTATATGGCAATTCATTATAATTATATAAATCAATTGCATATTATTCCTATTGTCTTTTATCAGCCTTAATCAATTTCAGTGGAAGGCTAATGAAATCTTAAGTGTCACTTGATGACCCATTGGTGGTCCTGACTGCAACAATTACATTGTTTATGGGTGTAATGACAGAAAAGCGACTGGGGATTGCTTTTCTAACAAAAATATTTTGATCTAAACTCTGCCTGTACTTTACACAACAGTTATAATAAGCATTACCATTTTATAAATTTTTAACAGACTCTTATTTTCAAATTCATCTGTTTGAAGACAGATCATTTCTTGCATTATTAACATGACAGAATCATTATGGATTTAGAAATAGAGTATAAATGCATATTGTACTATATGAGCCATACATAATAATATTGAATCATCACTGAATATTCCTGCTGTATGTTATACTTCTTCATTAAGTGTAATATGCATTAGAAGAAATTTGCATGTCTAAATTAACCAATCATAGTGCCTTGATACCAATCATTGTATTATATTTATTAACTTTTAAAAATCTGCACCACAATTTCCTTGCATCATCATCTGATTATAAAATAAATTTATAACAAATAACATCATTCCACAGATTAATGCAGTATCTCTTCAATCTACCCTGAACATTTTCACCAATGTCAGCCTTCGTTGGTGTGCTTCCAGTTGCAACTACCAGTATCCATATCTATAACGATGCTATATTTGACCCTAACCCTAATCCAGGGGTGGGTTCTACTTACCTTTACTACCAGTTTGTAATGGGATCGCGCGTGAGCGATCGGTTCGCTCACACAAGCACCTTGCTTCTGCGCATGCACAGAAACTTCTGTGCATGCGCAGATCGCTGATGATGACATCTGGGGAGGTGGGCGGGGCCTCCTGCTGGTTTTACTACCGGTTCTTGCGAACCGGTCCGAACCGGGGGCAACTCATCACTGCCCTAACCTCAATATCAGGTTGAGAAGTCTGTACTATTACAAGTATTACATGTATCTTCAAACACAGAAAAAATGAAACCATGGATAGAGGAAAATACGAGAGAAGGAATCAGAAAACTGAAAGTGCTGGCAATTTTCTTTGTAATAACCCTCGTTGTGGAATATTGTCTCTCCTTGCTGTAATTCCATAAAGAAATCAAAGTTTTTTCCCCCCAAATATACTTCAGATTTGAGACTAGGCCATAAACCTAGCTTGTTGGCAGAACTAGAAAATTATAGCTATAGGCAGATAGCATAATGATGCTGGCTGTCTAGAAGGAGAAAGGAAATCTGGCAAGGGCATATCATCCACAGGAGATAGAATTGCTGCCATAATGGGCAAACAATCAGACAAAAGCCTATTCCTGGCTTAGTTCTTGCATGACACATTCCTTGAATCTACACAATGAAATATTAAACTTTCCTAATAAAATAAAAAGCATTTGGAAGAAAGCCTGATTGTGGATATTTCTACATAAGTAGACAAGGGAATCTACTGAGAACTTGCACAGGTTAGCACATTATGTAGCACATGCTTTCTTCAAACTAGATTTCATATTTCCATAATTCTGGCTATTTCAGTCATTGCAAAAGATGACAAAGGTTGAAGTTCATACATAAGTATATACAGAAGAACCAAATCAGGCATGAATTTTACCATCAAGGTTTTTAAAAGTATAAACTATATCAAAGAGATAACCATTAAGGAACAAGCATGTGAATCTGCATCAAGGAATGTAACTTTTCAAAATATGGTTTTGCATTTACAGATGTTGTTATATAGTAATAAATCAATATGATGAAGATCCAATAATTTTTTACCTTGTAGATTTTGCAGTGGCAATGTCATGATGCCTCCTGCTGCAGCTGCTGCTACAAGCCCTTGAATGTTGGTGAGGTTAGCAGTAGGTAAAGTCAGGACAAGACCTTGCTGACCACCCAACTGTCCAGCCATGTTGAAGGGTATCAGAATAGGTTGATTCAGTGCTGGAGGGGCTCCTGGCATCACTCCAGTTACAGCTGAGGCTAACTGCTGAGCTGTCAACAATGGCTGCAACAAAACATAGTGGTCACAGATTATCATATAACAAAATAGACATATAGCAAGTGGGAAGCAATTATTTCACTGGACTCACAGATTCTTCCAATGCGTTTGATCTTGTGACTCATTTAAGATACCCTGTCCAAAGATGAGACATAACATTAAACTAATCAATATTTTTAAAAGTGTAACTGTTTCAAAAATTGTCCCCAATTAACCAGGCTGGTTATCAAGACTGCTGAAATACAAATGGAAAAAGGCATCTTAAAGGGTTAAATTCTATTCATTATGTTAAAAAAAATTAAATATACTTCTTGATTAATTAATTATGCAACTTGGTGGAAATGTAACTGATAAAACATAATTTAAAAGTTTAAAATGTATAAAAATATAAATTATTATTTAATTATGTTGCAACCTTAGTTGGAGCCATGGCAGCACAGTGGTTAGAATGCAGTATTGCAGGCTAATTCTGCTTACTGTCAGGAATTCAATACTGATTGGCTCAAGTTTGACTCAGCCTTCATCCTTCCAAGGTTGGTAAAATGAGAACCCAGATTGTTGGAAGAAATGTGCTGACTCTGTAAACCACTTAGAGAGAGCTGAAAATCACTGTGAAGCAGTATATAGGTCTTAAGTGCTATTGTAAGGTGACCAGATTTTAACATTGGTAAAGCGGGACACCCACCATTTTGTGGGCGTGGCTTGGAGGTCATGTGACCGGGTGGCCATGGCTATGTGTATAGAAAAAAGTCATTTCTGACAGGTCCTCGCACTTTTGACTGGTCCTCACACTTATGACCATCCTCACATTTATGCCCGTGCAGCATTCTTAACAACCATGTCACTCATTTCACAACTGCTTCTCTTCACCATGGTGATAAGATAGGGCAAAAAATGTAAAATGTGAGGACAGTCGTAAGTTTGAGGACTGGTCAAAAGTGCGAGGACCAGTCAAAAATAACTTTTTCAGCCCTCTGAGTAGTCCATATGCATAAAAGGATACAGCAATAGAGAGGGATGAAGGAAGGGAAGGGAAATTAGAGTAGGAGTGAGGGTAAGAGAGGGAGGAAGAGAGGAGGAGAAGGAGAAAGGAAGAGGAAGAGAGGGAGGAGAAGAAGGGGGGAGAGAAAGTAAGAAGGAAAGAAAAGAGAGAGGTGGTAGGTTTGAGGAGAAAGATTGCTGTACAAAAAAAAAAAAGATGAAAGGGAAGAAAGCCAACCCCAAACAAATATAAAGATATTAAGATAAAGAATGAATTGTTAAACTTTAAAGAATAAAAGAGAACAAATATGAATAAATAACAATAATTAGAAACACACATACAAACATACAATGTATTTTCTTTGAACAGAATATTTGGCTGGTTCACAAATTTAAACAGTGTTTAGTTATTTCAATTAAATTTACAATTTCTATATTTCCTTTTTGCCATATTTATTCCTCATCTATTTTTTTTTTAAAAAAACAATATTACCCTTCATCCTCATCTCTAATCTTAATCAAATTCAATTTTTCCCTTCTATTCTATATTATACCCCTTCGCATTGTCATCTATTTTTATATCCATCCTCACATTGGTTAATTATGTAATTATGTAATACAGTTGTTTAAAGAAATTCAACATTTTAATATAAATCAATTAGTTATATAACTATCTTTTTTGTATATTAATCAATATGAACATGAATATTCCAATTATTTCCATGCAATCCAATTTCTTACAAATCAATTAATTATATTTACCAATAATAATAAACCAAATAACTTCCCCCATATATTCCTCCAAACCACAACTTAACCATTCCTGCTTTCAACACAATATACAATTAATAGTATCTCAATTATTACAATTCCCTAGTTAAATAGAGCTTTTTTTCTTTTGTGTTTTAAAATCTTGAACTCTCCTCTTTTGCCCTAAATTTCCCATTGTTTGCAGTTTTGCACCTACCTTTTTTGGTGAGGAAAAAGAAAAAGAAATCTCTCTCTGCCTCATTTTGCCATGTTGCAGCAAAGACCCTTCTTTACTTTCAGTTTCGCTTTTTCAGCATAGTTAGGGGGAAAAAAATCTCCAGCACTCTGCAGCTAGCAACTACAGAGCCCTGAGCAAAACAGCTGAGAGCAAATCAGCTGAGAGTGGGGAAGCCGATCTAATCAACTTGTGCTAATTAACCTATGCTGAAGCTTTAAGGGGCTGTTTTTTCTATTTTTGCAGGCATCAGTCTACTCATTTGTTTTCTTTTAACACTGATCAGTTGTAGGGTGGCCCTTTGAAGCCCCGTGGCAAGAGTTTAAACAGTTTTTTTCCCTCTAGCCATCAGCTGGGACTCAGGAGGCAGCCGGGAGCAACCCACCACTGCGGCGTGCATTCTTTCCAAAAATCGGGACTTTTTTAAAACGCCGCGGGACGCGGGACAAATTGTTCAAAAGCAGGACTGTCCCACCAAAAGCGGGACATCTGGTCACTTTATGCTATTGCAATTGCTATTAAATTCAGCAATGTTTATAGGAGCACCCATCACCCCTCCAAGCAATCAGATTTATCCAGTGGTGAGATTCAGCTGGTTCGGGAGAACCGGTAGTTAAATTGCTGGCTGGCTCCAACCCTCCCCGCCCTGCCCCTTTCAGGAGTCCCCACGCGCCCCATTTTGGCTCCCAGGTAAGTGCAGGGAGGCCTCCTAGGCCCAAAATGGGGCACGAGGAGAATATGGTGTGTCCCCGGTGGCCCGTTTTCACTCCCAGTAGGTTTCAAGGAGGCCTCTTAGGCCCCAAATGAGGTGCCGGGAATGCAGCGTACCCCCTATTGCCCATTTTCGTTCCTAGTAGGCTTCAGGGAGGCCTACTAAACCCAAAATGGGGCACTGGGGGTGCAGTGTGCCCCCCCACGGCCTGTTTTCATTTCAGGAGGCTGCAGGGAGGGCTAATAGGCCCAAAACGGGGCGCTGGAGGCAGCATATCCCCCCATGGCCCATTTTTGCTCGGGGGTATGTGTGCAGGAGGCTGAGTGCTGCCTGTCACATCCCCTGTCCACGCCCACCATGTCCACGGCCACCCAGCCGGTCATTAGGGCAGATAACCGGTTGTTAAATTATATGAATCCCACCACTGAATTTTTCCATACAATGTATATTTATGTGTAGTTATGTTAGGGCTAGCTGGATGCAAGGACAGTAATTGTACCAAAGGGTTTAAATAGAATTAAATGCAAAAATTGGAAACTCTTAAACACATTCTTCACTTTCTGGAATGCTTTTCCAATTCACTACCTTTCCAGAAACCCCACGTGAAAGAAGAAAAATAAAATCCTCTGTTAATACAGTTAGTCCTCAACTTACATTTGTGTTGCTAAGCAAGGTAGTTGTTAAGTGAGTTTTATCCCATTTTACAACCTTTCTGTTCAGTGAATCATTGCACTTGTTAAATTAGTAACACAGTTGTTAAGTTGATTGTTTCCCCACTGACTTTGCTTATTAAAAAGTCACAAAAGCTGATCACATGACCCTGGGACACTGCAACCATCAAAAATATGAGTCAGTTGCCAAGCATCTGAATGTTGATCAACTGACCATGGGGATGTTCTACGGCTCTGAAAAACAATCATAAGTCACTTTTTTCAGGCTGTTGTAACTTTGAATGGTCACTAAATGAACTGTTGTAAGTTGAGGAATACCTTGTATTTGCAAATGCAACCATTGTTAAGCTTACAGCTAACAGTGCATTAAACAACTCTCCTTTTGATTACAAAATACCAAATCAATTAGGAAAAATGAAACACTGGCATATTTATTCATTAATAGAAGAAACAAACCAAAAGCTAATCTGGAAAATTCTGTCTTATTCATAGATCAATACTGGTGTTAAAGACTGGGAATGTAATTGCTGGATAATCTTTTTCAATTGGGTGTAGCATAACTATGCATTCCATCAAAAATTAACAGCTACTTTTCATACATAACTCCTTAGTTTTTCTACATTTATTTCATTTTTATTTGTATACATTTATTTCATTTAAGTATTTTTCATATGAACGACACAACATAAAATATATTGACTTTTTGAACATGATGGTTAACTAAGCACAAATGTTAATTGCAATGTTTGTTCACAGGAAAAACATGATAACTTCTGTTTGGAAACACTAATGCAAACACTTTCCCCTAATTGATAGCAGGGAAAGAAATTAAAAATCATAATTAAGCAGATGAAACCAATTTCTACTTTGGCTTTAAAAGCTGCACTCAACTTTTCTTTGAGATGAATAATTTACAGCAGACAATGTATTTTCTAAATTCAAAATAATGCTTTATTGTTGTTTTCTGAAATCTTACCATCTTCTACCATATCTTATTATGATTATACCAACTCAAACTGACCCAATAAACTGATCACAATATTCCCAATATTTCCTGAACAGTGTTTGTCTCCCCATTTTTTTCTTGAGATAAAACTAGGTGACATACAATATCTAATTATTTTCTTAAAAATAAAGTTGAGTCCCCAACCAATAAACATTTCTACACTATAAAGATTTAACTTCCCAGTCTACAAAAAATCCTATTACTAACTATTCAATTGATTAAAAAAAAGAATAATACAAACATCAGTAATTGAATATGGATTTTTTTCTATGTATAGTATACATCAGGGATGTCAAACTTGATTTCATTGAGGGTCACATAAGGGTTGTGGTTGACCTCGGTGGGCCGGGTGAGCATGGGTGGGGTGGGGTGGCCAGTTTGAAGTCTCTTGGAACTGGGGGCACCTATGATGGCCCAGGTGGGGATGGGGTGATCCATTGTCTCCAGTGGAAGATAATGAGACCAGGACAAATGCCAAATCCTTGTCTATCAAGCCACGCAGAGCCCCACACCCCAGATGACAGCTCAGGCTCCCTGGGCAGTAGAGGGCAAGTGCCCAGCCCAGCCCAGGTTTCTCCAAGGGGCTGCCCAGCTTCTCTGACCTCTTACTCAAGCTGTGCTCACTCTACTTGGCCACTTACTGCCGCTGTG